TTAGGGTTTAGTGTGTAGGGCTTTAGGGCTTAAGGCAAAATGTCCCATGAAGGTTTCAGAAGAGGGTTGCAGAAGAGGGCTTCACAGGGGTTTCATAGGTAAGCGTTTGCAGGGCGTCATGGGTTGAAGAAAGCTTCGTTTGGCTTCACCGAAATGTCTCATGCTATTGCACTAGCACCCACGCTTGTGCTATGGACAATCTCCTCCGACATCCATCGTCAGCAGTATACAAGAAATCCCGTACATTAAAGTACTTAGAGTATAGTCTAGTGCGGATTTGTGTCCATCAGCAGTTACACCATGTTACACCTAAACCCTAAACCCCCTAACCCCTAAAATCTCAGATTCAACAGAAGTAAAGTTCTCTCAGTTAGGGTCCCTTTTAGGGTCCTTTTTGTAAGGGTGCCGTACTATATTGGGGACCTAAAAAGGGACCCTTATTTAGAGAACGCTGCAGGTGGGGAGTCTCTGACGTGAACCTCCGCGTCTGCTTCCAATTCGAAGCCTGCCCTGGGGTTTAGGGTTTAGGGTTTAGGGGGTTTAGGGGGTTTAGGGGGTAAGGATTTGGGTAGTTCTCTGAAGTAGGGCCCCTTTAAGTTTTAGGTCCCCAAGAAAGTACGGCACCCTTATAAGAAGGACCCTAAAAGGCACCCTAATTTAGAAAACTACCCATGTTGAACCATCAAGAAAACACCTTGTGACTTACCGGAGATCCTTATGATACTTATGATGGGCACATGAGACAAGGAAGCCTTCCTTTGCGTTGCGCAAGCCGCCCGTGAGCTCCCAAGGCTCTCACCGAGAGAGGGCTTCCGACTCTTGGGTTTAGGGGTTTAGGCTGTAGGGCATGAGGTTGAAAGTTCAGGAGTTTCGGGTTTAGGGGTTTAGGGGTTTAGGGCTTTAGGGGTTTAGGGGTTAGTGGTTCTTTAACGTCCACACTTTCATGCGAAGGTGCCGCCAGCATGGCGATCACAAGTGGAGCCGCCTCATCCACGAAGAGGGCGACCTCGGCACTCCAAAAGCGAAGAAAGTCGCCAAAGGCGGCTCAAAGCGACCGGCAAAGGCTTGCCAAAGTCGGGTCTAGGGTTTAGGGTTTAGGGTTTAGGGTTTGCTTACAGGTCTCGCCTGGATTCCTACATACGTGTTCGACCTGCACGTCTCTTGAAGCGACTTGAGACCGTCTCGTATCTGTCCATACACGCATGCCAGAACTGCAAACCTCACTGCAACCCTCAAGGAACACAACTGTCAGTCATTGAATTTCGCCGCGATTAACATTGGGGGAATCAACACCAGACCCAATGAATTATGCTCTAAACCCTGCTTCGGCGATCCAAAGAGTGTGATCGTTGCTGCGAGTCACCATCACTTCCTTCCGGTTGCGCTGAACTCCTCAGGGTAGTCGGCTCTAGGATTTAGGTCGATGCGCACTCAAGACAGCACCTCATGATGCTTCACCTGCCGAAAAGTTCATCGACAAGAGCATGAATGCCACTCTGCTACCAGTGACGAATCCAGGCTGCAACCGGAAGTCCCTACATGTCGCCTTCCATCACAGCGAGATGGACTGCGACTCGGGCCACATGGGCTTGCAATTGAGCATAGGAAAGGTCCTCGGCTCGGCACTTTCTTGGGGCTGAACGTTGAGATTGGAAGAACCCAGCAGAATGTTCCACCGTCTAGAATCACTGTCACTGTGCCCATCTACTTCCAGTAGGAGTCGCAGACACGTCCCTGCATGTTGCAGAAAGCCCGACAGATGCTGCTGCAGGATAAGAGTTTCCAGCTCTTGCCAAGCTGCCATCGCCACCGCCAGGCCTTCATGAGAATCCTCGCCAAGCCTTGCGCTTCCTGGGTGTACTTGTTGACTATGAATATGGCTCTTGAGGATCAACGGACAGAATCCGTGCTGCTCAGAAGAAAAAATGACTTCCGCCTTCATCTGTGCACCCTTTCGGACATGCAACCAAATACCGAATCCGTGCAACAATACGCAACAACAGGACACAAGCATCAAAGCAACGGCACATGCCTGTGAGCGCTGTCGCCGTCGCCCACCGATTGGCTGCAGCTGCAAATGAAGCAGCCACTGTCGCCGTGCTGAGGGACAGGATTTTTGCCGCGTGCGGGCTCCGATTTTCAGGCTAAGCCCAGCATGTTGAAGACTGGAGGCGACACAGGACGTCCCCAAAACACACGTCAACCATAAACCCCTAAACCCTAAACCCTAAACCCTAATCGCAAAACAAGAACGATGCTGCAGAGCGTGACACAGGTGATCTTGTTCCAACGGCCGGTACCATCCGCAGTTTGCTGGAGACTCTGACCTGCCTAACCCGGACTATGCACCTGGAGAACTCATTGCGCAGGGGCGGCCCACAGTCGACGACATCCGAGGCCATGAAAGGCAGCAACACACGAGGTACTCAACTCGAGACACTGCATATGGGTAGTTTTCTAAATTAGGGTCCCTTTGGGGGTCCTTTTTATAAGGGTGCCGTACTATATTTGGTACTTAAAGGAGACACTAATTTAGAGAACTACCCATATGAGGACACTAACTTCCAACGGCGACCATACTTCACGCCGGGAATGGATTCAGAGCGGGGTGCCACTCGGGGCGGACTTGAATGATTCTGCTTGTGTCCAGGAAACATGCTGCGCTTGATGGGTTTAGGGTTTAGGGTTTAGGGTTTAGGGTTTAGGGTTTAGGGTGCATACTGTATCCTCTTGCAATCTTGAGTTACCTCGGTTACCCTTCCAGCCGCGACTGGCCTGTCAATTGCAATGCAATTCGACGTCTTGAATCCAGTCTCAACGAGTTCTGCCACGGTATACCAGTGCTGCCCTCCACCTCTATACCTCGCCTTGCATCTCACATTATCTGCATGAATGCATCTGAAATGTCATAGGCTTGATGTCGACCCTAAACCCTAAACCCTAAACCCTAAACCGATAAGGTACTGGAGCCAGGAACGCTTCATCACGAGACTGGGTGCACCAAGCAAATCTAGATAGAGAGAGTTTGGTCTGTGCAAATGTGGAAGTTTTAAACCAAACTTTAAGGTTCCCTTGAATATCACCGGACACCACGTTGCGCTCCATGCCTCCACAGGACAAGCAAAACCAACAAACTTTCGCTACACGGGGTTTGCAGCGTCAGGATCATCAATCCCCTGGAAAGCCACTCACCTGGGGCCAGGCAAGACCCTTCCAGAGCATTTAAAGCCCACGGTGAGAAGAAACTCTGCTTTTTGTCACAGAGCCCCCCAGACATGTCCACAGCAGGCCGCCCGTCATGAAAGCCCAAATTGTGGCCCTGTTGCATTGCTGCAACAGAGCAGGTGAAAGCTTCATCTGCATATTCATAGCCACAAGAAGGTTCGACCTCAGAACGCAAGGAGTCTACGTACACTTGCACTCACAGAGACTTCGATCTGCAGCAGCTGTCCGAAGCACAACAAAATGTAGGGCGACTCATTTGAACAAGAAGAAGCTTAAGCAATGTCTTTTTTGTAGCCGGATGCTCCTTCTACGTGAGCTGGAAATCCAACATTCCCGCCTTTTTATCCTCGCTTGCACCTGACCGCCAAAAGATTCATTGTCAGAGGTTCAACACCCAAAACCTACTTTTTTGTAGGGTCCCTATAAATCCCATATTAGGGTTTATAATAAGAACCTACAAACCGCAGCTCCTTGAAAAGGAATTGAAATCTGGCCACTCAGGGTGGCAGGAGCGGCAGCCAAGAGCACTTGGAGGATCATGGGACTTAGTAAGTATGGTTATAAGTACCTTAATTGGGGTTATAAGTAGTTTTAAGTATAGTTACTCTAATAACAACCTTAGTTACTAAGTCCCATGATCCTTTAAGCATGAAAAGGAATTGAAATTTGGACACTCGTTATGAGGTGGGGGAGCGGCATCTGCTGCGACAAAACCAGTAGCAATCCTCAGGCACTTGTCATATTTTCAACAACATGTGCAGCTGGAGGTTGCTTTCAAGAACATGCCTAGCTCATCAAGCTGGGAGTTTCAGCTAATGCTCATCGTAACTGTCTCGATGAATGGCTCTATGCAGTTGCAAAGAAGAGCTAGCGTGGATCGAGCAAGACAGCACGCAGCTTTGAGGCCTTTGTGGCAGTGCATTTCGCAACCTGCCCTTCCGCCAAGAGCTTTGAAATGCCCCGAGGTGAGCAAACACCAACGTCGACATCGTTTGACATAAAACGGGCAGTGTCTGAATTCTCGAATTACAGTGGATGATATTCATCGCACTAAGTCCTCATAGTGCCCCAACGTTGGGCAGCACCTTCCACATCCTTGAAAACTGCTTCTGCTGAAGGCTTTCGCTGCCCAAAGGTCAGAGGCTCCGAACTTCACGTCACAAAGCATCATCTGCCAACTCTCCCCTGGAACACGTGGAAATCAGCTGGGCATCTGATGCCATTGCCGCAGAAAGCCCACCAACAACGCCTGAAATGCTCGCAGCACAGGCGGCATCTCGGAAACCATCTCCTTTAATCAGGCCGCAAGCATCCACAGCACCAGATAGGAAGGAAGTTGCCAAACCAAGAGAACCTATCAGCCCCATCATGTCCACTGAACAAAGTCTCCGTCCAGACTTTGTGTTTGCGATGGTATACGGGTCACACTGATGAACGCTGGCGGTGATGCCTGTGCCCATGCGCATGAGGAATGTCGTTCCCAAGCCAACGAAGGCGATGCAGCGTGAAACTGCACGGCCATTGACAGGATTCGTATAGTTTTCCAGTGGGTTTGGAGGTAGGACGAGCTTCTGATGAATCTCATTGATCTTTTTCAGAACGGGGGTATCATCTAGATTACTCGCCGGAATTCTAAGACCTCTTCGCGAGCGCCATCGTCTTGCCCATTCGAGCCTGGCCTCCTTACTTGGTGCACATGCCAAGTCTGAGCCGATTCCAGACTGGACCGTAACCAACAGGTTGCCTGCAAATGAGGTGATCGCAGCAGTGCACTGCGCCCTTACATCATATGTTGGAACGCAGTCTGATACAGATGCTGCTATCTCTGTGCCGGCAATTACAAATGAGTAAATAGCCGTCAGAATGGAGGAAGAGCACCTCAGACGATCATCGTTCGTCCGTACATTTCCTCTTTCCCCGCCGGTAGCTAGGCCGACAATTCCACCAGACTTTTTGCAGTCAAAGTCTACTGCTTGGACAATGGCGTTGGCTGCTTCCATGAGTCGAAAAACAGTCTGAGCAACGTCAATGCTGCAGTCCACTTTCTCTGTATCGTCAAACACGTCATCATCATACCGATACACACGCCCTGCAACAAGATGTCGCAGTTTACTCATCATCTCCCGGATGTCAGGTGGCAAGCCATCTGACACGTCCATTTCATTGAGCTCGAGGAACTCAGGGGCGTCAGCCTTCCAATCTCTGGACCCTCCAAGAAGACTGGGAGAAAGAAGTGACTTTGGAGCCATGACCTCAACCACACCCAGCACGCCTCCGGCCGCGAGCACGACAGCCGCAACCGCTCGAACTGCCATCCATGCATGGGACGGGATCTTGGGCACTGGCCGCTCCTGCAAGGGGAGGTCCTCTTCTTCAACATCTGGAACATGGATCATGGCCTCGGAGTGATGAGCGTTGATCATTGCCTGAGTTGCACGGGATGTCTTCATGGCAATTCAACAACGGTTGCCTTGAAACTCTAGACTAGGCCCGTGGGCTAGACCAACAAGAGAAATCATAAAAAATCCATTTCAGCCGAGCTGCATGGGCCATGTCTGCGCAAGGCTCAAGCTATGAGGGGCAGTGGCTTGAGTCAGCACTGACGCAAAGATTCTTCATGCATGCACGTGAGAAGAGCTTAAGAGAAACAGGATTGACGTCAAATGGGACCTGAAATGCAACAAGGAATCTAGATGACGGTGGCTGCATGACAAGGCCAGCAGATTTCTCCACTCACAACCGTCTACGCACAAGTTATCCCAACCAGTGCTGGATCTCGGTCTTCCTTGCTGCCTGTGACCCCACATTTCCCGAAGCTCAGGAAGACACCAGCTGAAGCGATCCATTCGCTGTACTTCACGCCGACCTTGAAGAAGATTAGCTTTTGTGTGTTGGGGCCTAACTACATGTAGTGGGTTTTTGGAGCGGTTGCACATACAGTTTGAGGCTGGAGGCATTGTAGAAGGTCCCTTGGCGCATGCTTGATCCGACCTTCACTTCAGTAGCAGGGTCGAGCGTTTTCAAAGCCAGTCCCATTTTGGTCCCCAGAGTTGGAAGCACTGCACCGTCAAAGTGATCCCTGAAACCGCTTCCTGTACCAACATGATTCATCTGTCCTTCAGTTGGATTGGATCTCCTCATGGGGCATCGCTGCTGCAGAAGCGTCCCCCAGGCGGCCCGAAGTTTGTAAGCTCCATGTTGTCTGAAAATTCATCGGCTTCGGGCCATGCTTGGGAAGCAAGGCGTTGACCTCTAGAGATGATCGGCACCATCATCTCCTGCCAAGAAATTGACCAATCTAATCTTTGTTGGGTTTTGGTTGAGGGTTAGGGTGCAGTAGCAAGTCTCGGGTTTAACATGTCCAAAGGAGCTGCTAAAGGAAATGAAAGGCCTTCCATGTTGAGGCGATTATACAGCATCTTCTAGGAATTGAGGAGGGCAGGGACTTTGGCTCGTCCCGAAAAGAGGGCAGCCATGTTGGAGACATGCGGATTCCGCAAACACATGCCAGACTTGGAGGGATGGAGAATGGTACTTTGTGGGCTCCTGCAGTCATCATATGCTTCTCCCTGTCGCTCGAGTACTGCTCATGCAGCTCAGTAAGCTAAGTCGAGACAGATGTGCCCGGACGTAGAAAGCAGCCGAAGCCAGTGTACTGATCACCTGTAAGCCGCCCTCGCCCGACCTGAGGAAAGCCTGGCAGTTAGGTTGGAACTTCGTGTCCTTCACCGCATCGACCATGCAAACAAAACAACCAGGAAGATCTCCGCCATCTCGAAGTCGAGAGTCGAATGCAAAAGGTCTGACTCTGCCATGGAATTGGCATACCCAGGAGTGGCTAGCGTCTTTGTAGACGTCGCAGATCGCGCCATCGGATCTTGGCAGAATGCGAAGACCATGTTGCAGGATCGCTTTACGAGCTTGCCGGCAGAATCCCTTGCGGGTTGGGCCGCGCTTCCTGCATATACAGGAATGTCGTCCACGTCAATCAGCCGCGTCTCTGCAGAAGCACATTGTGCTAACAAGAACGGACGCTTCTTTCTTTCTTTGGTGTCAAACTGATCCCTATCGTTTTACAGGGCTTTGCAAGTACGCGGCACTTGGTTGTGACTTGCTGCAACCCTATCTTTCTGCAAGCTTTGCCAGAGATCACGTCCTATTGTCTGGCCCTCACCAT